GATAACCCCACAACGCAAGCTGACGCAAGTGTGGCAGCCCGCACACCTGGGGTGCTATGTTGCGCTTTTTGCACTCCCAGGAGACTAGGGAGAAGGAAGTGACGTCAACGACTAGAGCAAACGCAGATTGGATGTTGACAGAAGAAAACAAAATCAACATCCAATCTGCATTTGCTGCGTTGTTGACGTCACTTCCTTCTCCCTAGTCCCTTGGGAGTGCAAAAAGCGCAACATAGCCCCCCTGACTTCGCCGGCCGCATGGAAGAGTTTAGCGGCTCTAACGGCACTTCGTGGGCATCGTGGTACGGTCGTCTCCAGTTTTATTTTCAAGCGAACGACGTGACCGACCCAATCAAGCAACGGGCACACTTGCTCACGCTATGCAGAGCAAACACCTACGACATTGTGTGTGCGCTGCTACACCCAAGTACGCCGGACCAGGTGAGCTACACCGACATTGTTAGTGCGTTAAAAACGCACTTGGAACCTCGCCCATCTGAGGTGTACAGTCGGACCATGTTTCAGCGACGCAACCAGCTGACAGGAAAATCAATTAACGACTACGTGGCAGCGCTGCGCAAGTTAGCCACGCACTGTAATTTTGCAACGCTGCCATCGGCGATCGGAACAACGATGCCACCTGCAACTGGAACGGCGAACGTTGGAGCAACGACGACGCTGCAAACAGGAACTGCAGCTAGGGTTGCTAACCCGACGTTGCTGCCATTGGAGGTGATGTTACGCGACCGGCTCGTGTGTGGTCTACGCGACGAGCACCTCCAGCAGCGACTCTTCGCGGAGAAGGATCTCACTTTTTCCAAGGACTATGATCTCGCTGTCCGCGCGGAGAGCGCTGTTCAGCAACAACAAAAGTCGAAATCCGACCACTCGGAAGTGAACATAGCCACGACCAGTGCAGGATTGAGGAGTTTTTACAGGACACAGGCTGGGCAAGGAAAACGCTGTTGGCGCTGTGACGAAGTACACAGCCCCAACTCATGCAAGTTCGCGACAGCAACGTGCCACTACTGCCGGAAGCGAGGCCATATCGAAAAAGCCTGCATTTCAAAAATGAAACCTACAAAGAAAGGGCCGCAACGGAACAACTACTTTGGCACATCAAGAGAGCCTCAACCTCCTGAACAACAAATGTTAACATTGCATGACCTTTACTCAGGAGCAAGTGAGTCAGTCCACCACCCCGAAAATCACAGTGACACTCACTGTACAGAGTCAGCAAGTGACATTTGAGCTTGACTCAGGTGCCGCTTGCACCTTGGTCAGCAGTGATACTTTTCGAGCTGTATGGCCTACAAACCCACCTGTTTTACAACCAGATGACATTCGTCTGAGCATCTGGGCAGGCCAGAAAATTGAAGTCTTCGGAACAGCAACAGTGGATGTCAGCCACTCAACCAAGACTTGCCAGCTTTCATTAATTGTGGTCCAAGGCGCTGGATGCAACTTGCTCGGACGCAACTGGTTTGAACCACTGGGCATTCCAGTCAGTGGCATTCACAAAACCACACACGATGGCAACATTACGCAGCTTTTACAGAAATTTCAGTCAGTCTTTTTCGAGACCATCAGTGGTCAAGTAGGACCACCAGTACACCTGAAATTGAGAGATGAAGCACGACCCAAGTTTCTGAAAGCGCGGCCCGTCCCCTTTGCGCTCCGTTCAGCCGTCGAGACGGAGATTGACCGACTGGAACAACAAGGCATTTTGGAGCCTACACAACATTCTGACTCGGCCACGCCGTTGGTGTTGGTGAGAAAGAAGGATAGAAGCATTCGTCTCTGTGGTGACTACCACAGCACCGTGAACGAGGCCGCGAAAAAGGCGTTTTACCCTTTGCCAACAACGGACGAAGTGTTGAGCAGTCTACGGGGAGGAACTACATTCAGCACCCTCGACTTAGCGCGTCTACCAACAACTTCACGTGACTGCATCTACGGCTGAGCTGCTCACCGTGAACACAGTAAAAGGACTGTAAAAGTTGAAGAGGCTTCCTTCTGGTGTGGCAGCAGCACCAGCAATATTTCAAAGGTTCATGGTGACCACATTGAGTGGGCTAACCGGTGTCTGTGTGTACCTCGACGACATCATTGTCAGTGGTGCCACGGAACAAGAGCACAAGGAACGATTGTCAGCCGTGCTACAGCGACTAGCAAAGGCAAACTTGCGTTTAACAAGGCTAAGTGCCGCTTCAGTGTACCGGTAGTACATTTTCTGGGCCAGAAGATTGATGCTAAGGGCATACACACCACAGACGAAAAGGTACAAGCGATAGTGGAAGCACCGCTCCGACTAGTAAGCAGACTCTGCAGTCATTTCTGGGCATGTTGGCCTTCTACGACCAGAGAACCACAGTAACATCCGTACTGTATGAGCTGCTACAGAAAGACACGTATAGCAATGGGAAGAAAGACATCAGAGAAGTTTTGAAGAGCTCAAGAAACTGATCCTGAAGAGTACAGTCCTGGCGCACTACGATGAGACAAAGCCACTATTCATCTCATATGACGCCTCACCGTATGGTGTAGGTCCGGTGCTAGCCCAGCAGGAAAGTCAAGGCAGAGAAGCACCGATAGCCTTCCCGTCCCGGACATTATGTGCTGCTCAGCGCAACTACGCCTAGCTTGATCGGGAAGGCCTTGCTGTGGTCTTCGCAGCCAACCAGTTCCACAAATATATTGCGGGACGACCGGTAACCTTCGCGACCGACCATCAGCCAATACTGGGAATTCTCGGACCGCAGAAACCGGTCCCTTAGATACTTTCACCCCGCCTGACACACTGGTGTCTAAAGCTTGCAGCCTACGACTACGACCTGAAATACCCAGCCCGCAAGTTGCATCAGAACGCAGGCGCGCTAAGTAGGTTGCCGTTACCAGATTGCACCGAGGATCCTCACGCTCCTGGTTACATCCTCATGTTCGAAGCCCTTCCAAGTCCGCCTTTTGCAGCCGAGTTGGTGGCAAGATTAACGCTGGAACACGTGATTCTGTCCAAACTTCACAGAGCGATTCAAGAGGGCACGGTACAGCAACTGAATGGAGACGACTTCACCGCTTATGGCAGAAGAGCCACAGAGTTAGCAATTCAACGCGGATGCATCACCTGGGGCGCAAGAGTCGTAATGCCAACAGCAGCCCGCAAGCAAGCAATGGCACTGGTCCACGTAGGCCATCGAGCAGTCGTGGCCATGAAAACCTGTGCGCGCAGTTATTTATGGTGGCTAGGTTTGGATGACGACATTGAAACAAAAGTTGCAGCATGCGATCCATGCCAGCGCACGCAGACGAATCCGGGAAAAGCTCAGATTCCTTCGTAGACGAAACCATCAGCACTATTGCATGTGCTTCATGTAGATTTCGCTGGTCCCTTGGAGGGACGTACCTTTTTGGTAGTTGTGGATGCCTATACTAAGTGGGAAGAAGTGAGACAAGTACCTCATCCCACATCGGCATCGGTCATTGATGTACTGCGCTCACTGTCTGCGACCTTAGGGATACCACACAAGGTGGTGTCAGACAACGGAACAGCGTTCGTGTACAAAACTTTTACAAGGACAATGGAGTTCGGTACGTAACGTCGGCTCCATACCATCTTGCTACCAACGGGCAGGCAGAGCGACACGTTGGCGAGCTGAAGAAAGCGCTGGCCCGAGAACCGTTTGTATCGGTGGACCCGAGACTTTCACGGTTCTTGTTCCGTCAGCATAGTACGGTTCACCAAACAACAGGTGTTACTCCAGCTAAGGCCATGTTTGATCGGGAGCTACCAACTCTCCTCGATCGCCTCGTACCGACAGCAGAGTCAGAAACAGTAATAGAGAAGTTACCGCTGAGCAGGCAACTGCAACCTGGAGAAGAAGTAATGGTTCGGCAGTTTCTGAAGAAGCCTAACTGAATTCTTGGCATCCTAGTTAGACCAATGGGTCGTCGTTCGTGGCTTGTTAAGTGTGCAACTGACATCACTCGCCGACACTTGAACCAGATTCACAAACGTCGCCTTGAAGATGCAAATAGTGGGACAACAGCGACGCTCACATGGGGCATGGGCCAGGACGATGAAGAACCAGAAACTATGCGGCACCAAAGAGGCAGCTGGACAGAACGGCTTCGCGGAGATCTAACCGGGCGAGACGGCCGCCCCCCACGTACCTTGCCTGCGAGGGGAGAGGTGTTATGTCCAAGGAGTCAGCCCAATGGCAGTTGGGAGGAGAGGACAAAAGAAGATGGAATGAAGAGATTTTTCGACGAGTGCGTTTGTCGCCATGTTGGCGTTGCTCACCGTGTTCCGATAATAAACGGAATTCCTAAGTAAACAGATTTCGTCCAGCACATAAAAAAAAAGAAGAAAAACATGCATTTTTTATACATTTATATTTACCAATTTAGATATGATAAATGAACTATCTAAAAACACATTTGTGTACAGTTCCATGGCACTCTGTTCACTGGCTTATACACACGATTTTTACGCCCCGAAAGCACTCGAGAACACCCCGTATATTCACATTTCGCAACTTTAAATCAGTAATGTGAGTGGTGAGTGCACGCTCGATCGACAGTCACCTGATCTGTCGTGCAGGTTAATTCTTTGCCGAGCAAGAAAATGCGCGTGCGAGGCGCGTCGATATTCAGATGCACGCGTGGAAAAATTGATCATTAGAAGTGTCTCGTTTCCTTCGAAGTCTCTATTAAAAATACTGACGTAGTTTATGTAAAAAAAGAAAAGGATTAAACATTTGATAGTTACGTGCCTTTCCCTACCTTCGTTTATGCTTTGGGCGACTGAATGCAAACTTCGAAAACTATTTACGCATCGTAGCTCAGTTTTAATCAGGCGTTATCAAAGTTTCGATTAAACGATTGCACGAAAACTATTAAGATATACTATAAAAGCTGGTTTATGGAATCTTGAGGAGGCTAATATTTGTCTTGTATGGTTCTTTGCATAATGATGTTCGTTTCATTGTTTCATACCGTAGCTGGCCAGATTCCTATATGTGGATCAAGGTGAAGCATTCTAGCGAACAAAAAGACGAAATGGAAATTGATTACGATTATTATTATGGAGGTAAGCCATTACTGATATTGTTTTACACTCACACGTTAAGATAAATAACGTTATTTTTAGTTCATTAAATCAAGAAACGTATTCTGCTGCATCGCCAAAAACAAATATTTTGACCGAAATTAAATTGCATGCCCAGAAAAACTCTTGAAGCATGCAGTCGCTCTGCAAGAGTAGGGATCAAACTTTCTTAGATAAACAAGCAAAGACAAAATTATCAAAACGTACATTTATCTTCCTAATCCTCATAAACACTGAAAGCACAGAATGTGTTGTGCGTGGATTATGCGTGCGTTATTATTTTTGATGCTTGGTTACCTGGAGCTCGGGGTGGTTTCATGCGCGTTGCATACACGTCACACTGATATGACCCCTGTCCTATCAGAATGATTAAGGAAAATTAAAATGTATTCAGGGGCGGAGTCACCTACCCGCGCCGACAGTCGCCTGCTACTGCAGGCTCCCATGGGCTATACTTAGTCCAGCTGCTTGTGCTCTCGTTCGCCGCCTCCTTGTAACGTCGAGCATAAGCGCCGAGCTGCGGACCGCAAGGTCCGAGGTTCGATCTCAGCCGCTCGTTCAACTTCGGTAATCGTAATTTAGCATTACGATGAAGTGTAACTAATCATATCCTAAGTACGCCTTCTGCGCTTTTTATCCTTTTGCATTGCCTGTTATGGGCCATTATACTTCATGATTATTCGGTCATGTGACGGTCTTTTGTTGCGTTTGAGTGAAACACTTCTCGCAAAAAATTCACCCCTCAAACACATTCTACGTCAAATTTATTTAAAAAAAGGAGTCACTGAATATAGTGGAACAGTGCAAGCCGCAGGCGAAATAAAACATATGTGAGCATAGCGTAGAATTTTGGACAGAGAATTTCCCCAATTTTTTCGCTTTGTGCTGGTTAGGAAAGCGACTAACCGGAAGTTGATTAAATCGATTAGCTTTATAAAAAAAATACTCGGTGTCAAATAAGAGTCTCGTAGTTTCCCTTGATAGGCATGATATCGCCGATTTTTCAAAGTTATTTTGAGTAGCAAAGTCAAAACAGCATCTTATAATGTTGACATTGTCAGCCGTAAAAAACATGCTCTGTGGGTGTGATATCTGTAAATAAATCTTTAGGTTACAAGGATTATCGGCTGCTTTTTACCGACTACAAAACCTGCTTCACCTTACAAAGGGATCATGATAAAAGTAAGTAATAACTCTTTTTTTTACTGCGCTTAATTTGTATTATGCTTAATCATATTGACCTGATCAATTTTAAGCACTTTGACTAGAAAATCATAAACAAAATATTTGTGGCACACTCGTTCTTTGCTGTAACATTTAGACTTGCAGACAATGTGTTTGAATGCTACGCTGAGAAGTCAATTGACAAAAATAATTCCGTTATTTTTTCTTTACTTAGATGCCGTTCATGCCTAGTTGCTATTACATTCAGTTTGCCATATTCAGGAAAGCGTTTCATAACCCAATAAAAAGGAATATCACTTGCCATTTGCACCATAAATATTACAACCTTGAAGTTTGAACCTGCAAATGTCTCTTTTCTACATTAATTAGCCTATTTACAAAAGTCATAATTGTGTTGCACGCGACAGATGGTTGCCTGTCACCGAGTCGGCAAATGGGCTTGGTAATCAACTTCTGGCGCCTTGTAATTTCTGGTTCAAACTACGCCTTCAAGCATGTTTTGCGCACTGTTTATTCGCCCCGCAAAGTAGCTCTTACAAAATTGGGTTGTCGGAGGAAGAAGCGATGCCTTTGGCGTTTGAAACGTGCACGTCTTGATAAGATAACACAAATCTAATCAAAAACACACCTAACTGTATCTTCATTCTCCGCAGAAAGGAAGAAATTAGTAATCCTCTGCGAGGAGCCGTGATTTTTTTACTGCGGTTCTTGAAATGAAAACTAGTATAGTCTTTATTTTCTCTGTAAATGCTCGCCACATATTCCTTTTCTTAGAGGTGAAGCAAGGGTGGCGACGAATGGTGAAAAGAATGGGTGGGATGATTTGTGTCAAGCTGATCGCTGATTCGGTTGCGAGCATTGTCCGCCTGGAACCCCCGATACCGCAACCCTGGAACACCCAATACCACACCTCATTAAATTAGGTGTGGTATCGGGTGGGCATAGAGAAGAAGGGATTTTGGTAAGCCGGCCTAGTCCCAGTGACTTTAGCTCTGTATAAGGAGTCAGGACACAACTTGCTTGAGATTGTTGAGCAGAAGCGTCACGTTTTCGCTGTCACATGGCAGATTCCCGAATGACTTGTCGTGCGGTGGTTTGTGTGTTGAGCTCCGACCCTAGTCGAATCAGTGCACGGTGACGAAGAGCATAAACGACTGGGGGGCTTATAACCACAATATGGCGAGCAAGTGCGGTTACTGAGTCGGCAGTAGACGTGCCTAAAATTAACTATACTCGCACATGGCTTGGCGGCTGCATTTGTAGTTTCAAAACAGACGTGTTAATCATTGGTGCTTAGGCCTTAAAACATTGAGGCCGGATTCCTAAAACCACAAGGTGTCGTAAAAAAAGTTCTGGAACTGATTTTTTAGCGTAAAAAAAAGAATAGCACAGCGATGTGCGTGCAGCAGTCGAAGGCGGGAACCTTGCTGCGACATTATACCAAAGGGTGTCGCTCTGTGAACGTTTGGAACTGGGCCACACCAGTTTCCTTGACCACATGCACAACCATAATGGCGATCTCTCCATATAGACCACAAACCAAAGCGTGAGAGAACATCAATTTTACGTCGAACTCGCAAAATCTAAAATGGATTTGAAGGCTTATGTCAAGAACAGTGAGGTGTGCGAGGTTTTTTGAGTGACACTTGAGCCTCAAGAATGGCAGAACGTCACCGCAGTCCAGGAGAGGTCGGATAAGGTCGCCCTACCTCTCTTTGTCTTTCAGCAATGTTCTGCCATTCCTGAAGCGCGAGTGCAGCTTAATACACTGCGCAAAATTTATTGATTTTCGACACAAGCCTGCTGAATCATTTCAAAGGTCTCTGTTCTATATTTGCCGAGTTTGACGCAGAATTGACGCTCCCCCTTGCGCTGGTTTGCAATCTGCGATAACTCACAGATAGGAAGCCAACGATCAACGAATTTTATTGAATACCAACGTTCGTATATAGCAACCGTTATCACTGCAGGTCGCTGCGTCACTGCAGGCCACTTGCGTGACAATGCCCTTTGGTGCCACGATGCCTCATCCCTCCCCCTTCTTCTTCTTCTTCTTGTGAGGTCCAGAAAAGGAAAGGGAAAGCCGGGAGAGATGTTGGCCTCCTGTACGGGGCGAGTCGCTACCCGGCTTGGAAAAGGGGGAGTAGCCGTAGGTGGCTAAAAGAGATAGTGTGGAAATTTGGAAACCAGTCCAATAATGTGATGGGGGTTTGGCACAAGTGTGGGTTTCAATTTAACAACCTTGCTGTTTGCGGTGTCTGGTATTTGATCAAAGACGGTCTGCCAAACCAGTCTCACTCAAAAAATCCAAGAGGTCTTGGTAAGCCCTCTGGACAAGCCGACGCGGGGCTTCTGGGATGAGGAGTTCCCGAGTGTTGGAGGAAGGAAGTCCATTGAAAGTGTAGCGTTGAAACAAGGTTTTACGCTCTTCGTCGTATTCTGTGCATACTAGTAGCACGTGTTCAATGTCCTCTAGGGCTCCACAGTGTAGGCAATCAGGACTATTGACTCGTTTAAGTTTGTGCAGAGTTGACCTTGTGTTTGCGCAGTTTGCCCTCAGCCGATGTAACATTGACGCTTGTTCTCTTGACAGCTTGCGGGGGATTGCTGGAGGGGGCCGTCCTTCAGCCGTCTCTCGGTGTGGGTGGCGCTTCTGGTAGAAATTTCGTATAAATCGCCATGCTTCGTTGTACCGGCGAAGGGAAATGGTTGGGGTCTCAAGTTCATGGGCTTCAGTAGCAAGGGCATCCGCCTTCTCATTTCCCGCAATTCCAGTGTGCGCAGGACACCACTGAAAAGCAAGTTGCCAACCATTTCTTTCAGCCGACCTGGCAGATGTTACAGTTGTTGCAGTTAATGGAGTGCCAGTCTCGGGGTTCCGGAGAAGATGAAGAGCAGATTTCGAATCTGTGAGGATGACTGCTCTCCCTGGCGTTCCACTTCGCACTAGAAGCTCCAAAACCCGCCAAATAGCCACCAGCTCCGCAGTAGTAGAGGTTGTGGCGAAGTTTAGTCTGTCTGCAATGCAGACGTTGTGAGTTGGGATGAAGACTGCTGTCGTGGTAGTTCCTGTCGCCGGACTAGTGGAGCCGTCGGTGTATACTTGCAGCCATCCAATATACTCTGTGTAGAGTAGTTCCTGGGTCAAAAGGCGAGAAATTGTCCCAGAAACACTCGCCTTGCTATGCATGTAAGGGAGAGTTTCCCTTATCGTCAGTGGTACTTCTAGATGAGGCTGCGGGGGTGGAGGGATATGTCCGGGCGGTCCTATAAGATCTTCGAACTGTCTAGCCAAATAGCCAAAGAGGGAGTTGGGGCGGTCAAGGACGTGTGAGAGTAGCTCCCAGAGGACACACCATGAATTCTCGCAAGGTGACGGCAGGCGCGCTCATCAGCCCGGAGAAAAACAGGCCATTCTTCGGCAGCAACGAGTGTGGCAACGTTTCCCGCGTATCGGGGCAGTCCGACGCACATCCTCAGTGCCACACGGTGAAATGTTTCAACATCACGTTGTTGTGCTGGTCCGATGTTGAGAAGTGGCAAAGTATAATGTAGGCGGGAAAGGATTAAACCTTTATATAACTGAAGGAGGGCGTGTTGTGGTGTTTTCCAAGCATGGCCGCGGAGGCACCGTAGAACTCCGAGAAGGCTGCGGCACTTGGAGAGAACTTTGCGGACTTCCGGTCTCCAGGTTACCCGATCATCCAACAACAATCCAAGATATCTATGTGTCCTCACTCTCTTGACTGGTATCCCAGCCATCTTGAGTTGCAGCGCTCGTTCGGGGGGCGTCCTCTCGGACGGTAAAGCAGCGCTGCTGTTTTCTAGGGGAAAGTGTCAGTCCGAGTTTTTCGATGGCAATGCAGATTGTATCGAGTGCCTCTTGGAGTTGACAACGAATCTTCCTTGCCCTTCGAGTTGGGCCAGCGCACCAAAGAGCCACATCATCCGCATAGATGGATATCTGTACAAGGAACGGTCCCTGCTGGCGAAGTGAGCTTGGAAGCGTTGCCATGGCCACATTGAAAAGTAAAGGACTAAGGACACTTCCCTGAGGAACGCCCTGAGTCACAGTACGTGGACTGCTAAGCGCTCCCGGGACCCTGACCCGAATCGTTCTACCAGAGAGAAATGCCTTAATGTATTCAAGCATTTTCCCTTTTACTCCGAGATGTCTGAGGCGCTGGAGGATAACAATATGCGGAAGTGTATCAAATGCCCGCTTTATGTCTAAGAACACACAGTGAAGCATGTTGCGGCGTGCTTTTGCCTCTTCGAGTGCAGATGCCAAGTCGCCCATTGCGTCTGCCGTACACCTCTTTGCACGAAATCCTGACAGCTGGTGTGGCAGCGCATGTGATTGCTCTAGGTGCCGTCAGGCGTCTCAAGACCAGGCGCTCAAGTATCTTTCCCAGGCAGCTTGTCAGGGACACAGGTCTATAGGATGAGGAGGAGTGGCTCGGCTTACCGCATTTCAATACCGGAATTACAATTGATTCTAGCCAGGTCATAGGCAGAATGCCCTTTCTCCATATTGAGTTGAGTGTCTCCAAAAATTGTGGATGATAAGCTTGGTCTATGTTTTTCAATGCTTGATACGTGATTCCATCTGGCCCGGGTGCACTTCGGCGTTTGCAGTGTCGGAGCACATATTGCAGTTCAAAGATGGTGAAGTCGTCATCTGCTGTGGATGCTTGAGAAATGGAAGGGCCTATCAGCTCTTGGGGTAAAGCCACGGCTGGTGGAGGAAGGGGGCACGCAAATTCATCAGCTAGGAGTTCTGCCGTTTCAGTCATGGTTTTGTCGTTCCTGATGGCGAGTGCTGCAATTGGGTGACAAGGGACCTTCGCAGCTGCCAAAGCGCCAACTAACCGCCAAGCTTGCGCGGCTCCCCTCGGATTCCCGAAGGAAATACATTTTTGAGCCCACTGATAGCGCTGCAATTTTTTCGTGTGCCTCCTGAACGCCGCATCTATTTTTTTGTAACGTGCCCAGTC